TATTCCTTTATGTTTACCATGCAGCTGACAGCGTTCATCGTCGCGAAAACAAAGCAGGAGATTTCAAAACCAATTTTTGGAGGTTCTGTTGTACTTCAACAGAACCAACGTCATTTAAAGTAGAAATGTATTTGCCTGTTCAGTGTTAACGTCTGCCGAATGCACTCTGCAGTTCAGTTTGAATTCAGAGTCCTCAGCAGTTTTCACTCCGAACAATCTTGAGTTGGCACTACCTCCTGGTTGTCAGACCACGTCTTTACGTGGCGGTTCGTTGGAGGAAATAGTTAAAATATTTTCAGAGATCCCATCCCCGCAACTTAGCGTCATTTACATACCCACAATGCACTGAAGGCGTCATTGCTTATTTAACACTTGTCCGGCCCTCGTTTTTCCAACATCACAATGATATGACTTTCCCAAAGAATGAGAGAATGAAATGAGGTACTTCGTCATTTATTTATTTGTATAGTTAGTGTAGAAGAAGTAACCGTTTCTTAAGTAAGGTTTTATTCTTTTAAGTAGTCCATGCAGCTGTTGGTCGCGCGTATCTTTAGTCGGTGCCTCGAAGGTCGGGCAGGTAGATTTTTATGCCCTTGATACCCGCTTGCTTCACATAGTGAGTTCTAAGCTAGCCAGGTCTACATAGTGAGAGCCTGTCAAGACTATATGTACATATATACACACACACGCAGACACAAGTCTTTTTCCTTTAAAGAATACTTGTGCCTTGCAGTGGTGTTGCACACCTTTAATCCCAGCACCTGGGAAGAAGAGATCTCTGTGAGGTCCATGTCAGCCTGATATGCACAGTGAATACCAGGACAGTTAGAGCTATATAGTGAGACCAAAAAAATAGTGTGTGTGTGTGTGTGTGTGTGTGAGGAGGGAGGAAGCGCCTGAGTGTCATGGTGCACATGTGTCCCGTGTGAGGATTTCAGGACAAGCGCGGGGAGCTGTTTCTGCCCTTCCGCCTTATTGAAATAGCGTCTTTCCTTTCCACTGACATAGTCCTCCATGCCTGCTAGCTTGGGAGGCTCTGGGTGAGTCTCCTGTCTTCATCTTCCATCTTTATTTAGGAATGCTGGAATTATAGATCTTCTGCCTGCCCATACAGAGTCTGTGGCCAACCTGTATTAAATAGAGAGACCCTTAATCACAGAGAGAGAATGAGGCAACGGTAGCACCATCTTTAATTCATATTTTTGCTTTTCCATATGAAGTTGAGTACCATTCTTTCAAAGTTTGTGAAGAAATTTTCTGGGATTTTGATGGGCACTGCGTTAAATCTGCAGATTGCTTTTGGTAAGATTGCCATTTTTACTATGTTAATCCGGCCTACCCAAGAGCATGGAATATCTTTCCACTTTCTGGTGTCTTCTTCAATTTCTTTCTTCAAAGATCTAAACTTCTTGTCATACAAAAGAAAAAACTGTTCTGGTTGTCTTCTGGCCTCCAGCTCTGCAGCTTGTCACAACACCACACAACACGTGTAAATGACTGTGTGAATTTTGGGTATGTTGAAAGGGAGTATCAGGTCACCCCAAAATGATGCCTTTACTCCCACACTAGGGAGTAAGAAGCAGGCCCATATATGAATTCAAGGTCTGCCTGCTCTATTGGTAGCTTGGTAGCTTAGTCTAGCAGGGATTGTATAAACAAGTAAACAAGACCCCAAACACCCATTGCCGGCCCTGCTCTGGCAGAAATCAGCCAGGGGTACCCTGGGAGAGGACTCTGAGGCTGAGAAGTTTATATCTCAGCCGGCACGTGTGTGTTCTAATTAGAGGCAGGAAGCAGAAGAGAGGGCAGTCCAGTCAGCTGGCCGCCTCCCTGCGCTGTCCTTGGGAGGAAGCTCGAGCAGGTGTATTTTCTCAATCTAAGAATTCAGTTAGTAGCAAGCAGCTCCCACACTAAGGAGGACAGCCTCCAACTGGCATACACCAGCCCAAATCTTAACAGATAATCTAGGCAAAAGTGTTCTTTCTCACGGGTTTACTCAGAACGTTCTCACAGCCCTCAGGGATATTCAGAGCAAGTCCAGCAGGGAACCTTGAACTCAAAAGACTTCTTTAAGTCAGAAATGACTCCAGCCCGGCGGTGATGGCTTACGCCTTTAATCTGGAGTTGGCCCTGCCCCCTGGTGGTCAGACCACGTCTTTACACGGCGGTTCGGGGGAGGAAATAGTTAAAATATTGCCAGAGCTCCCAGCCGCGCAATTTAGCGTCATTTACATACCCACAATGCACTGCTAGGCGTCATTGCTTAATTATCACCGGACCGGGGGCCTCCCTATTTACAACATCACAATTTACGACTTTCCCGATGAATGACAGAATGAAGTGAGGTATTCCGTAGTTTATTTATTTGTATAGTTATTGTAGTAAAGTAACCATTACTAAAGTAAGGTTATCATCCTTTAAGTAGTCCATGCAGCTCTTAACTTTTATATATTACCTAAGTAAACAAGCAAATATCAAAACTCTAGACCAATTTTTGGAGGTTCTGTGATGGCTCAACAGAACCAATGTCATAAATTAAAAAAGAAATAGTCTTTTGTTATTTCTTTATTTTCTCCTGTGTATTGTTTGTAATGCTAACCTGAGGAAAACGAGTCTTTCAGTTTTCCATTGTATTTCTTCCTTTCTCCTAATAGTCAAATCCATCGTCTGTGGCTTCTCAGGCCTTAACTCTGATTATTAAAATGCCCGTCACCGAACAAGTTCACTGACTGCCTACGCTCATGCGCAGAAGTCCACTGACTGCCTATGCTCATAAACTGGCCGCCTTCCTGCGCTGTCCTCGGGAGGAAGCTCGAGCAGGTGTATTTTCTCAATCTAAGAATTCAGTTAGTAGCAAGCAGCTCCCACACTAAGGAGGACAGCCTCCAGCTGGCATACACCAGCCCAAATCCTAAAAGATAATGTATCTTTCACCTAGGCAAAGGTGTTCTTTCTCACGAGCTTACTCAGAACGTTCTCACAACCCTCAGGGATAATTGGAGCAAGTCCAGCATGGAACCTTGAATTCAAATGACTTCTATAAGTGAGAAATGACTCCAGCCCGGCGGTGGTGGCTTACGCCTTTAATCTGGACCTGGCCCTGCCCCCTGGTGGTCAGACCACGTCTTTACATGGCGGTTCGGGGGAGGAAATAGTTAAAATATTGCCAGAGCTCCCAGCCGCGCAATTTAGCGTCATTTACATACCCACAATGCACTGCAGGCGCATTGCTTAATTTAACTGCTCTCGTTTTTCCAACACCACAATGACATGACTTTCCCGATGAATGAGAGAATGAAGTGTGGTACTACGTCGTTTATTTATTTGCATAGTTAGTGTAGAAGAAGTAACCGTTACTAAAGTAAGGTTTCATTCCTTTAAGTTGTTCATGCAGCTCTTGGAGGTTGCCATCCTTGAAAACAAAATAAGAAACTTTTCCAAAGCATAAACCAATTTTTGGAGGTTCTGTTAAGGCTCAACAGAACCAGCATAAGTAAAAGTAGATGTGTTATGTGTTCCTAAACGGTGTTGGTCCATGTATTTACTTTCATTACTTGCGAGGCTGATCTCTTTGATTTCGTGATCAGTCTTGTCTATAACAGCTAGTTACAGGACAGGCTTCAAAACCAGAGAAACTCTCATCTTGAAAAACCATTGATGAGAAAGTTTCATATTCTTTATTTATTCTTTGTTGCTTACAAGGCTTAACCCAAGGCGGAAACTAAGTCTTTTAGTTTACTATACTGATACCTTCCGTCTCCTAGTTAGTCAGAGCTACCGTTTATGACTGCGCGTGCGTTAGTCGTGCTTATTAAGATGCTTGTCAGCGCAGAAGTCCACTGACTGCGTCGGTTCATGCGCTGGCCGCCTTCCTGCGCTGTCCTCGGGAGGAAGCTCGAGCAGGTGTATTTTCTCAATCTAAGAATTCAGTTAGTAGCAAGCAGCTCCCACACTAAGGAGGACAGCCTCCAGCTGGCATACACCAGCCCAAATCTTAACAGATAATGTATCTTTCATCTAGGCAAAAGTGTTCTTTCTCTCGGGCTTACTCAGAACGTTCTCACAGCCCTCAGGGATAACTGGAGCAAGTCCAGCAGGGAACCTTGAACTCAAATGACTTCTTTAAGTCAGAAATGACTCCAGATGGAAACTGAGTCACACGTGGGCTTCCACAATCTAGCAGGAACAACAAAACCAAGTTTGATGTGGTGTCCCATGCCGGTTGCCCCAGCACTAGAGACTCGCAGGCAGAAGGATCTCGAGTTCAAAGTCATTTTCAGCTACACGGAGAGATTGAGGCTAACCTAGGCTACAAGTCACCCTGTCCCAAACACCCCAAACGAACAAACTAAGCCACACAGCGGTCTAGTTGTATTAGTCTCTGATCGCATTCGAGGCAAATCTTAGGTGAGGAAAGTTCGGGCCCCCCTGCCCTTTTTCCAGGGTTTGGCCCCTGTGTATTTGACCTTCCCATTGTCAGGGCTTGACACCCAGTCCGGTGTCTGAGGCAAGAACCTCGGATGCGCAATTCTTTGTGTTAAAGAAACGTATGGATATGCTCGTTTTCGAGCTCTTGTTTATTTCCTGATTAATGCCGAGAGTAAGATCCAGCGCCTCGCGTACACACAAGGGCTCTATAGCCGAATGCACTTCTGGAGTTCAATTTGAATTCAGACTCCTGAGCAGTTTTCCACTCCGAAAATCTGGAGTTGGCACTGCCCCCTGGTGGTCATCTCACACTTTTACATAGGGGGACGGGATAGATTCCGGTGCAGCAATTTAACGCCATTTACATACCCACAATGCACTGCTAGGCGTTATTGCTTAATTTAACACGGGACCGGTTGTCCTTGTTTTTCCAACATCACAACGGTACGACTTTCCCGAATAATGAGAGAATGAAGTGAGGTATTACGTAGTTTATTTATTTGTATAATCATGCTGAGGAGAAGTAACCATTACTGCTGTAAGATTACACTTCTTTGAGAAGTTCACGCGGCCAGTGGCTCCTCTATAACTTTGTATCAACATATCAAGATTCTAGTCAATTTTTACAGGCTCTGTGGTTGTTCCAGAGGACTAGCGTTATTTATAATTTTAGGTGGAGGATATACTCTGCTTTTCTCCTCTTTTCAAGTATTTGGTCGTCTTCATCCCCCACATTATTTTCTTTGTTTTCCCTGCAGGGGGTTAATGCTCACGCACTTTCTCTTCTTTCCTGACCCCTCCACTCTCTATATCACTTCCTTTTCCGTGTCTCTAAGATTAGACATCTTACTACTTTACCCCCATGGCCCATGGCTCATCACTCACTCATGTAGGGTGACAGCATTAGAGAGGCTCAGAACCGCTGTCTTAAAGGAGAAGGCCTCCATTAAGGCCACAGCATGCCCTGGAGCTCCTCCAGAGTCATGGGTCCTGCTTTCATAAGTAGGAACACCCCCAACCCTGTTAAGTTACGAAGCTCTTGTGATTCCCATTCCAGTCCGACTACACAGCACAGATATGCGAACCCTTTATTAGACCCTTCTGCAGCAACAGCTCCCCCTCTTCCCCTGCATTTGCTAACTCCCAGTTTCCCACCCAGAACCTAGTGGCACTGTCTTCAAGCCTCCTCCTGGCAGGCAGCCTTCCAGGAGGCACAGTCTTGGCCTCCTGGTTTGCCACAGGGACTCTGTCACTCCTTGGATTCTGAATTGAGCTTCTCAAAATGGGTGACATATTCCACATCGTTCAAATCTCCGGGGCCTATGCAAAAGTTGAGGCAGCTGGCGGTGGTGCCTTCACAGAGGTGTAAGGCTGCGGGCAGCAAAGCCAGCATAAGCCTGATTGCTGGCTCTGCCTGGGCTTTCGGCCCCTCACCCCCTTCTCACCTTTGGTAACATTGACTTTGTTGGCTGCCAAGATGTCCGCCTGAATGCTATCTATTTTTGTGTACAAGATCTCGGCATTGCTCTGAGGAAGGAAGCGGGGGAGCCTGGCTGGGCACCAGAACAGCGGGCACCTGGAGTGGGGCCTGAGTGGAAGGTTAACTGCAAGCAGAGCTGCTGAGGCAGCGAGGTTCTGCTCCCAGCTTCCTAGCTAGGGCAGGTAGGTATAAGAAGACAGTGTGTTTGGGGGTGGGGCCAAGTCAGCTGACTAGATTCATTCTGAGCACGGTGGGGGGGGGGAAGACAGGGGGGGCAACTGCTGAGGTTGGTGGGGGTGCAAATACTTACAAGGAAGAGCTGGTAGAGTTCCTCTCCCATGGCCTTGCGGACATGCTCCTCCACCAATGGGAACAGCTGCACAAAGTACTGCGGCAGAAAGTGGGCAGTGTGGCAAGACAGTGTGGGGATCAGCTGCCTTGACCGCCATGCCCTGCAATCTGCCTCGTGCCCACCCCAGCCCGAGCACCTCTAGTGTGAGACTGGCCAGTCTCTGGCTATTGCTGTGGTCGGTGTTGCCCATGGCCGTCATGAGGCTGTGGACCACACGCATGTGCAGCAGCTCCTCTGCCAGTTTCAAGTCACTGCGTGCCAGGATCCTTGTGAGGAAAGATGAAAAGACAGGAAAAAACTGTGAGGACAACGGAAGGGAATGGAGCCCCTCACCCCATGTAGCATGAATTCTAATTGGTCTTTTTTTTAATATTTATTTATTTATTATGTATACAATATTCTGTCTGTGTGTATGCCTGCAGGCCAGAAGAGGGCACCAGACCTCATTACAGATGGTTGTGAGCCACCATGTGGTTGCTGGGAATTGAACTCAGGACCTTTGGAAGAGCAGGCAATGCTCTTAACTTCTGAGCCATCTCTCCAGCCCCTCTAATTGGTCTTAATGAAAACCTGGAGCCAGATATCGGGGTAAATGCTGGAAGATCAGAGAGACAAAGGAGCAAGGCACCGGCACCTTCTGTGTCTATTGCTTCTCAGCCTGAAATGGGCCTTACCCCTGCCTGTGCCCCACCTTATCACTTCCTCTCTCTGCCCAGCCACATCACTTCCTGTCTCCCCTTCCCAAGTGCTCTGATCAAAGCCACCACTGCCTGGCTCTGCCTTCTAAACTCCAGGCAAGCTTGATTTATTAGAGCACAAATAATATATCCCCACACTCCCAAGTCTGTGCCTCTTTTCAGCAGAGAAACAAGAATTCCAACAGAGCTAGGCTTAGTGGTGCAAGCCTTTGATCCCAGCACTCAGGAGGCAGAGGCAGGAGATCTCTGTGAGATCTAGGCTAGTCTGTCTATGTATAGAGTTCCAGAATAGCCTCATCTACATAGACTCTCTGTCATTGAGGGATCTTATTGCAAAAACAAGAACAAAATGAAAACACGAGACAATGGGCTGCATTTCTTGAGAAGCGCACACCCATACTATAAAGCCCTGGGTGGCCTGGAATTTCCTCAGTGGACAAGGCTGGTCTTGAACTCATAGAAATCTGCTGGCCTCCCACCTCCCAAGGATGTGCCCAGCCCAGTGTCTTTCTTTTAAAATTATAATACGTTAGGAGCTGTGCACAGTGACACACACTTTACTCCCAGGGCTCAGGAGGCAGAAGAGTACATGCGCTGCAGACAGCATCAGGCGTGACTTGCCACAGTCACACAGTCCCGCTGCTGGCCTACCCAATGGTCTTGGCGGCTGCGGCCTGCTGCAGGAACACTGGTAGCTGGGTGGTGATCTGGAGAACTGGAGAGTCTGAAGAAACGAGGGGCCATCAGCTGGGAAGCCCTTTCCTCCTCCAGGGCAGTCCTATTTCAGGAGTCCTACCCGTGAAGATCTTGGCCTGCAGTTTGGACGTTTCCTTGACAGGTGGGATGAGCAGTGCCACAAGGCCTCTGAGCAGTGGCAAGCGCACGTCATAGTGGATCAGGTCCTTTATCAGCTCGATGGCTGGGGAGGGACAGAGATGCTGGAGAGGCCCCGACCTTTCAAAATGCATCACTCCCTTCATATATATATATATACTTAATGTATGTGAGTGCTCTATCTGTATGCCTGAACAGGGCATCAGATCCCACTATAGCTGGTTGGGAACCACCATGTGGTTGCTGGGAATTGAACTCGGGGTCTCTGGGAGAACAGCCAGTGTTCTTAACCACTGAGCCATCTCTCCAGTTCTCATCACTACCTCTACCCTGCCCTCTCCAGCACCTCCCTTGTGCTTTCTGTTGCTCAGCACCTGCTAAGGCCTTACATGGGGAGCTGACACTTCCCTGCTGTTTTTCTGGAGCTGTGATTGGATATCAGCAAGAGTAAGAGTCAGGGAATGGATGGCATGGTGAGATGCCCAGGAGCTGGAGCTGCAGGGTTGAGGCCCATAGAAATGAGTTTCCATCAGCTTGGAGGAATTCTGGTTTGATGGAGGAGGAAAAAGCTGGGCGAGGAAAGATTTCATTTATCTTTTACAAATCTGACCGCTAAGGACCACACCCAGGGGAATCCTACATTCTAGGCAAGTACCTACCACTTAGCTACATCCTCAGGCCAGGGCTGGGTCTCTCTGGTTTTTTGAGACTCCCCATCTTACATTGTTGCCCTGGGATTGATCCCCAGAAACCAGGTGAAGACAGGAGAGAACTGACTCCTCCAGGTTGTCCTCTGACCTTTACATGTGCAACCATGGTGTGCAAATGCCCCCAACATGCCTGTAATCCTAGTACTTGGGAAGTGGAGGCAGGAGAATCAGGAGTAAGAGGACATTAAAGAAAAAAACAAACAAAAAGGCAGGAAAGCTGGCTAGAACACCTGCTTTCTCCAGAGACACCTCCTATAGGGAGAGGCCTATGGTTCCTGCACTGCAGAGGCCGAGGCAGAGGATTGTGATTTTGTGGATATGTTTAGGCTTTAGGTAGACTAAGACCCTGTATTAATATATATATACACATGCACACACACACATATAGACTCACTCCTTATGCAGCTCTGCATGGTAGCACAGGCTTGCTCTCTATCTACCTGGGAGGCTTAGGAAAAGCTGAGTGAGACAGGGGCATTGTGCATTTGAGGATAGCCTGGACTCTATAGCAAATTCTAGCCTAATCTAGACTACACAGTGAAACTCTGTCTCAAAACAATGACCGATCAGGATAAAACAACAATGACAACAGCCACTGCTGCCCTGTGGCCACTTCTCAGGGCCCTGTGTTTCATGGAGGTCCTCCCGGGTGCCCTCAGGCTCCATCCTGGATGCCAGCCCTGCAGCTTGTTGCTCACACGTGGTTCTTATCTGTTTCGTTGTTACTGTAATGGTTGGGACCAGGGTCTCACTATGTATCCCTAGCTGGACTGGAACTTGTTATGTTGGTCAGGCTGGCTCTGAACTCACAGAGATCCTCCTGCCTCTGCCTCCCGAGTGCTGGGATTAAAAGTGTGCACCACTAGCACCCGGCTCCATTGCCATTCTTGATTGCTTAGATGTTCTAAGCTGGAATCGTGGCTCCATCAATATTGCACAGGGATAGGGTCCAGCCCTGAGGGGGCACAGAGCACTTGGGCCTCTTTCGCTTCTCCCAATTCTTATGTAGACGAAACAATAGTCAAGGCCCACATCCCAATCTCTTGTCTTTCTTACCAGCTGCTGTGTGTTTCAGTGCAGCTGTATTTGGATCTGAGTGCGTTGGCTCCTTTCTTCTGACTGTGTCACTCTGGCAGCTACAGCAGGATGCCACGGCAGTGGCAGGGCACCCTGGGAATCTATGTCTATGCCTGAGATGTGAAGAGAGACGTGACCGGGTGGACGCTCAGGATCCCAGGGAGTGTAAGAAGAGATGATTATGTGATTCCCTGGACACAGGCAGCATCTTATCGTCCAGGAGGTATCAACTCTGAGAACGCACTTTACACTAAAAGCTCCATCTTGCAATAATTATGTAACAAGGATGCTTGCAGCTCCTGGGACAAATGAAGATTTATCCCTGAGTCATTTCTGCTTGTGACTAAAATCCACAGCTCTCACTATTTATACCCGAAGGGAAAAAGCAAGGCATTGCTCAAATGTCTCTCTGGGACATTCGTCCTCTGAGCAAGCACTTACTGAGCCAGCTCCCTACCCCGTCCGATAGTGATGGAGCATGTGCTCGCCACAGGACGGGCTGAGGAAATGGCAGTCTCTCCAGATACAGGTACTACCACTCACGCGCCATGGGCACTTCGTTCAAGAGGAAAGAGTCGTTGCTCAAACCCAGAGGATCGCGAGAGTCCACAGCCTGACAGTGTGTGGCAGCACCTGCCCTAATAGCAATACTCGGGAGCTGGGTCGTTGTTTACTGTGACGTGAGTCTGAGGTAGTCTAGGCTGTCTAAGTCCCTGTCTAAGAACACCAAAGCAAGCGAACAGCCCTGTCTGCTCCAGTGTCCCCCATGCTTCCCCGTGGATCCCTCTGTGAAGAGATGAAGGAATTGAGAACAAGAGGCCTCCTTAGGGAGTTGGTGGACAGGAACGTTTGGGCAGTGGACTCGGTTAATGTTCCCTTGGCAGAAGGACCTCAGAAGTGGTCCAGTTACAAAAAAAAAAAAAAAAAAAAAAAAAAAAAAAAAAAAAAAAAAAAAAAAAAAAAAAACAATCTGTCTGGGCTTGGTGCCACCTTTAATTCCAGTACTTAGCATGCAGAGGGAAGCAGATCTCTGTGAGCTCGAGATCAGCCTGGTCTACAGAGTGAGTTCCAGGATAGCAAGGGCTACACAGAAACCCTGTCTTGTAGGGGGAAGAAAGGAAATAGAAAAGCACCCGGGAACCTTAGATATTCCATATGTTGGGGTGGGGGGAGTAAGATATCCCACTTTGTGTGTGTGAAGTGCATGCATGTGTGTGTGATTTTAGAGTTGGTTGTTTTTTTTTTTTTTTGTTGTTTTTTTTTTTTTTGAAACCGGGTCTCTGTATATAGCCCTGGTTAGCCTAGAACTCATTTTGTAGACCACACAAGCCTTTCACTCCCAGAGATCTGATTGCCTCTGCCTCCTGAGTGCTGAGATTAGAGGCGTGTGCCACCATGCCCAGTATTAGAGTTGCTTGTTAGAGAACCTGAACGTCTCTGAGGATGGCAATGGATGGGAAATGCTGCCCTCTGTAAAGGGACTGACACGGTGCAGGGATCTGTGTTAGCTGGCAGTGGCTATCAACAGCATTCCTGTGACATGTCGTCCTGTTGTCTAGGAAAGACCTCTTCATGGGAAGCAGAGGTTGGGGTCTGACCCTTGTCCACACAGACAGCATCACGGGGGGTTCCTGCATGTGCACTCTGTGTAACCAGAAAACCCTTGGTTCCTGTCTCTTCCCCTCAAGCTTCTGGAACCTGCACTCACTTCCTGTTCCCCTATAGTGGAAGCCTTGATGTCTTTGTTTAACTCTATTCAATGTTCAGCTATCCAGTTTAGCCTCCTCTGTAGGATCTGTGTTTAGGGAAATAACAAGATTTTGTTTCTGTTAATGTGTCTATAAATACGAATCTGTCTATAAATATAAGCATTTTATAGATCAAGATGAAGAAGCCTTTACAGTGAGCAGAATAAATCTAAAACATTTGATCACGTGAAGCTCCTTCCAAGGCGCCCACATATTCTGAAGCAGCAGAGGCATTCCCTGCACCTAGAGTCTTGGGAAATAGTGCCAGTTTACTCTGCATGTCTAGACAAGACTGCCACCTCCTGGTTGTCCTGAGGAAGCGCGCTTCAATATAAATTTTCCAGGGGATGTGCTTGGTGGTCGTGTTCTCTGATTCGCGTGTGTTCTGATATCCCGTTAGCTACATCCTATCCAAATACTGATGCTGAAATACTAAAAGTAGATTAGTTCACTAGCCTTTTGCTGCATCATAATCAAAGAACAATGTTGAAACACCGAAGATTGATTGATGGATGGATTCATTGGTTAATCATTTATTAGACACAGAGTCTTTACTGTTTTATGTAGATCAAGCTGGCCTTGAACTTGTGGCAATCTTCCTGTTACAGCCTCCTTCATTTGGGATTACAGGGATATGCCACCATGCCCAGCTAAAAATACTTTTAGAAATTTATTTTTTAGGGCTGGAGAGGCTGATGAGATGGATGGGTCAGTGGACAAAGGCACCTGAAGCCAAGCTTACTAGCTGAGTATGACCCCAAGGTCACATAGTGTAGGGACAAAAGTTGTTAGCTGTCCTCTGACCTTCACAACCTTGTAGCATGCATGCATTCCCTGTAAATAACACACAAATACACACATGTACTAAAGGGCCGGAGAGGATCTGCAGCTAAAGCGCTTGGCTAGGAAGCCTGAGAAGTAGAGTTCAGGTCCCCAGCACCCAGGTAAATGCTGGGCTGGCATGGGGGCCGGACTGTGCTGTTAGCACTAGGGAGCCAGAGACGGGGATCCCAGGGCCAAGCTGGCTAGCCCAGCTCACACTGGTGAGTCACAGGTCAGGGAGACACCTCAGTATGGAAGGAGAATGGTGGAGGATGATATGGGATGTCAACCTCTGACCTCCGTATGTACCTGCACACATGTGGGTACACACGCGAGCTTGTGCATGCCCACAAGCATGCAAGCACACACACTCACACTCACCCACACAATTGCAAAGTCTAGCAGGATGTAGAGAGTCTATGGAGCAAGCTGAGACAAGTGGGTCACTTGAGTCTAGGAGTTCAAGGTCATCTGAGATGATGTAGCAAAACACAAACAAAAAATTCATTATCATTATTGCTAATTAATTAATTAAATTGGAGACAGGGTCTCTATGTGTAGTCCTGGCTGTCCCAGAGATTGCTGCATAGAGCAGGCTCTCCTCCAACTCAGAGATCCTTCTCCTGCCTCTGTCTCCTGAGTGCTGGCGTAAAGATGTGTGCTCCAAGGTACTCCATTATTATCTTTAAAGACCAGAAAGACCAATGTCATGTTAACACTATGAGCTAATGATGTTTCCTAAGTGCTGATGGGTTGGAGTTATGGTGACATGTTCTCTCTCTCTCAGGTCTCCTGCAGCCAGGCTGTACTCAAGCTTCCTATGTAGTTAAGGATGACCTCAAATTACTGACCTTACCAGTTTGTTTGATGACAGGGTCATTGTAGCTCAGGCTGGCCTTGAACTCCTCACATTCATCCTGTCTCTACTTCCTGAGTGTTGGATTACAGTTGTGAGCCTGAGAGCTACGCCATGCTGTCTGCTCTTCTAGGAAAGCTTTCTTGATTTTGCTTTTAATTCCTATTCTATAAGTTTGAGTATTTCACCTTTATGTATGCTGTGCTCCATGTGCAGCGGTGTGCTGGCATATGCGACCCAACCTAGTCCCCTGCAAGAGTAGCAACTGTTCTTAATCACTGAGTCACCTCCCCAGCTTTCTCCTCTGAGCCAGTACAGCGCGCCTGTGATGTGCATGGAGTCAAACATCACTGCGGAGACTTGAAACAAGTTGGCCTTGGGATTTCTCCCTAGACCCTGGATAACTGTATAACAAAACTCTTCAATGCTAACTAAGCGTCCCAGTCTCCGTGCTGATGCACTGGGTGAACGGAGGCACTTGTTTATAAGTCAGTAGGTTTTGGAGTCTGTGAGATGACCCAGTGGTAGAGGTGCTTGCTGCCAAGCCTTGACAGTCAACACACTCTCTCTCACACGCACATACATGTGCACCTGCTTACACATTAAATAGGGTTTAAAATGTGTGTGTGTGTCTGTGTGTAGGTTAGAGGACAGCTTGGAGAGTTTCTTCTCTGTATCTGACATCGCTTGAGATTCCTGCTGTGTTGGTGCAGGAGCTTCTCAACCATTAATATCGCTGCTGTCCTTCAGGGCTGATGTACCAGCTACTCCATCACCTTCATTATAGGAATGTGGCCATTTAATTAACACCTCCAGTGAACTCCAGTCATCAGGTCAATAGGTAAGGTTTTTATTCTGCAAATGACCATTTTTTTGAAATTAATAGTCATTTTACAATCAACTTATTTTTTTAAGATTTATTAATTATGTATACAGCATTCTTTCTGCAAGTAGCCAGAAGATGCCCAATGAGGGCACCAGATCTTAGCATAGGTGGTTGTGAGCCACCGTGTGGCTGCTGGGAATTGAACTCAGGACCTATGGTAGAACAGCCAGTGCTCTTAACCTCTGAGCTATCTCTCCAGCCCTATGATGTCAGTTTTTCAAGGACTTTTGTATTTCATAAGACAGTGTCATTTTGGTCTGGCATAGTGGCACATGCCTTTACTCCTGGCGGTTGTAGGCAGAGGTAAGCAGATCTCCATTAGTGTGAGACCAGTCTGGTCTACATAGTGAGTTACAGGACAGCTAAGAATATATATATATATAGAATTTGTCTCAAAAAACCAAGAGGAAGAAAGGAAAAAGACAGTGTCATACCTTGTAGCCTTGCTGAACTCCCCATCCTCCTGCTTCAGCACTGGGATTACACATACCATCACCATACTCTGGCTCAGAGTTTTCATTAGAGAGTAAGGCAGTTTTCAAAAATGCCTACCAAGTTTTAACAATTCTGTATGTATTTAGTGTGTGTGTGTGTGATGTGTGAGTGTGGAGGTACATGTGCCACAGCATGAGTGTTACAAGAGTTAATTATTTCTAAGTATTCTATCTTCATGTATGCCCTTACGCCAGCAGAGGGCATCAGATCCCACTAAAGGTAACTGAGCCACCTTGAGGTTGCTGGGAATTGAACTCAGGTCCTCCCTCCCTTCCTTCCTCCCTCCCGTCCAATCATTCATTTATTCACAATCCTGACTCTTGCAACAGGTGCAGATGTTAAAATCACAGTAACTAGCTGGATGTGGTGGCAAGCAGAGGCAGGAGGATCAAGAGCTTCAGGCAAGGCCGGACTATGTTTCAAGACCAAGACCACCTAAAACCAACCAACCAACCAACCAACCAACCAACCAACCAACCAACCAACCAAGCAGGGTCCCGCCCAGCATGGTGGAGTGTGGGGAACAGATGAAGTCCAGAATGAATGTGTCGTTGACACAAACACAGCCATGTCAAGGACCCCAGAGCCTCAGAGCCATGGAAATGGCAAAGCCTTCTCTGGGTGAGACTCAGAGGGACAGCAAGGGCTTCTCCAGGACCAAGTACGAACCAGGATGAGTACTGTGGTCTTTTCAAACCAGTGTGTCCAGCAACTATCAACCTCAACCTCTGCTTCTGCCTCCCAGATGCTGATAGCCTGAGACTGTTGGCCACGGAGCCCCTGCTGCCTCCTTTGCAGCTGTCCACAAACAAGGCACCGGCCTCCTGCTGGCTCACCTGCTGCTGCTACTCTCCATTAGAGCGCTTAGTCCACCTGATTCCAACCCCCCCTGCGCCCCTCCCCCCCCCCATGTGTGTGCCTGTCTCTCTGTCCATCCTTGCTTCACTTCCTCATTGCCTAAGTCAGGTGTCTAGGACACAGCCTCTGAGGGCACTGCAGTGGACCGAGTTCATAACCCCAGTAGGGAGATAGAATTAGAGCTCAAGACAAGACATGGCCCCGTGCGGGGCTGCATGCCTGTAATCCCAGCATTTGGGGAAGCTGAGAGAGGAGGAGAGCGTGTTCAAGACCAGCCTAGTTTGCACAAGCATCTCAAAAGGAAAAAAGAAAACAAACAATATCAAGAAGCCATCACCAGCCACGCCCGCCATTTGCTCCCTCAACCACCGGACAGCCTGGTAGGCTGCAGGCTTTGTACTCCTAGACTCGGTTTGAGAAAAAGGGAACCAGCTACGGAAGTTCAACAAATGAATGACTCAATTAATGAAAACTGATGGATGCCATTAATTAGTCTGAATTAGTTAGTTCGTTTTGTTTTACAAAAAAGACGTCCCCTAGGGTGTTCTCTGTTTGTTTATTTTCTTATGAGACAGCCTCATTATGTAGCCCAGGCTAGCCTGGAATTTGAGATTCTCTCATCTCAGTCTGCAGACAGAGGTCTGTACTAATATGCTAGGTTTTCTTTTTCTTTCTCTCAGTGCTTGAAGTTCAACCCAGGCCTGTGAACACTGGACAAGCATCTATCACTGATAGGATTCATTCATTCATTCATTCATTCATTCCCAGTCCTGACTCTTAGAACAGGTGCAGGTGTTAAATTAACAGTAGACAGCTGGGTGTGTTGGTAGGCAGGGGCTTCAGGGCAGATGGCAAGAGACAGCTCTGAACCTAGCCTGTTCTAACGACTGCTCAAACGAATGAAATACAACTACCATTTTCTGAGGGTCTTGCTGGTTGATATTAAACCAGCCGTTCCCCTCTCCCAGTGCTATTTTGGACACTCAGCAACAGTCTCTTTATGATCAGAGGGAGAATCTCACTGCCTTTGGTGACCCAGGGGTCTCCCTACCTTCGTACTGGACCTCCAGATGCATTGTGCCCAGGACCTTCAACACACAGTCCACAATGCTGGGGTGCGTCGCTCCAATGATTGCCTGACAAGACAGACCAGAAGGAAGAGCGGTGACTCTTTAGGCTCAGAAGAAGTGAAATGAGGACCCCAGAACTGGGCTGTGGGGTGAATTGACACTGTAGTCTTTAGCTCAAGTTGCATTAAGCCAAGTCTCCTGGTTGCCCACTAAGACATGCAGGACCAAGGGCCGAGACTTCGGGGAGGGGAGGGGAGGGGAGGACACGGGAGGGACAAAAGTTTCTCCCTGAGAAACTGATCCTGAAATCTTTTCTGGAATCTCAGCTTTTAGTTTTACCTCTTCAGACTTTACCTGTGCCACACGCACCAGCTACTGAAAGACAAAGAGCCGGGTAAGCAAGGTCTACCTAAATTCTGGTGTAGGAGGCACTGGGGTGAACGCCAGGGTTCTCAGGTCTGAGACGCAGCCCCCCCCCCCCCCCCCCCCCCCCCCCCCCCCCCCCCCCAGCTCAGCCCAGCTCAGCTCAGCTGAGCTCAGCGCCAGGAAGCATCCCGTCTTCTCCCGACTACTTGGTGCATCTTCCCAGGGAATTTTATTTACTTCATTTCCACTTGCTATTTAACTGCTTGTGAAATCCAAACTGCTGTCTTCATCCTGGGCCTTTCTCCAGAGCTTCAGCCTTTAATTTTCCATGGCCCAGTGGCCTCTCCAGCAGTTCTGGGCAGTGCTTCTCTCTCTCTCTCTCTCTCTTTTTTTTTTTTTTTTTTTTTTTGAGACAGGGTCTCTCTGTGTCCTGGCTGTCCTGGAACTTACTCTGTGGACCAGGTTCACCTAGAACTCAGATATCTGCCTGCCTTTGCCTCCCGAGTGTGGGGATTAAAAGTGTGTGCAGCCACTGCCCAGCTTGATATTTGTTCTTAGTTCTACTCCTTCTGTCTCAGAAATGTCTACCCACCTTGGTCACCTCTGCACCCACTCCCACTGCCTCTATTTAGGCCCTTTTGTTGTCTGCTACCCGCTACCCTCCAGCCTGTCTTCTGGAGCACTTGTGAAAGTTTTGACCATCCATGTCAAAACCACATCCCCCTCCTTCGTAGGCATGACGCCACTGTCCTCCAAACCTGACTTCGCTCACAATCTAGGGCAGAAGCCAAGGGGCGGGGGGGAGGAGGGGACCTTCTACAGTGAGTGAGATCTGGTCTCTTCCCTTACACACTCCCTGTCAAATGGATGCCTTTGATCTTTTCTTCAGTTCCTTAGTCATCCTTGTTGCTTGCCTCAACCGCTTTGAAGTCTGTCAATATCTTTCTGATCCTTAAATAAACAGGACAAATCACTCTGCTGGGAGGCGTGAACTCCCTGCCCTGCCTTGGCCTTCGGGAAGTGGTGCTGACTGTCTAGCAGACGCGTGGTGGGACGCTGAGCTCTGCCTCTCAAGCCTGTGGGAAGTGCTGCTGGACTAGACCATGTGACTCAGAACTCCAGAGCATAGCTGTGGCTCACCTGGGCAATCCTGAGAGTCTGCATGGCCAGCTGCTGGGCTTTTGGGGACCCACAGGGCAGCAGAGCTATGAGACCTTTATATACTTGATTCTGGTACTTGGGGTTACCATGGACCAGAGCATCCAGCAGAATCTGCACTTCCTCCTGGGTCTCTTCTGATTTAGACTTTGCCAGAAATTCTGCTATGGCTCTCACACCTGGGCAAAGAAGGGAAAATGCGAAATCGGACAGGATTGAGGAAAGCACTTCCCACTCAAGGTTGCACAATGGGGATTGCTTTAAGAGCTGTTCAATCAAGCTTGCTTAATGGAGCCGAAGGCTGAGTTTTCATGTTGCGTTACTGTCGTGTTTCCTTCCAGCTGTGTGACCAGGGTAGTTTTGTGCAGCATAGGCCAGTGTGTGTGTGTGTGTGTGTGTGTGTGTGTGTGTGTGTAGCCTAAAGGGAATTCACGAGGCCATGAGTTTGCTCTTCAGTGAAAGAACGTCAGAAACTGTTTCATCTGCACATTTTGTAGAGTCATTTTAAACTTCAAAACACAGTTTTGTGTTCTGTGCTGGGCATACAATTCTTTCCCACCAGACTGGAATTCTTTTCTTTTTAAGACAATCTCACTATGTAGCTCTGGCTGTCCTGGAGCTCACCAGGTAGACCAGGTTGGCCTCAAACTCACAGAGATTAGCTTGCTTCTGCCTCCTAAGTGTTGGGGTTAAAGGTGTGTACCACCACACACCCAGTTGGTCGCACCCTTTTTAAGGACAGGGCCTTTATTGGTGTTCCAACCTGGGACCCAAATTTCCACACAGGGTCTGAGAAAGCTGAAAAAACAAAAACAACAAAACAAACAAACAAACAAAAAAAAAAACAAACAGGATACAGCTCCTTTCAGAGGCTCTGCCATACAGCGAGTATTCCAGCAGCTGCACAATAAGGAGAAACAGCAAGCTACGTACGTAAGAAACACCTGCCACAGTGTGGGCACCAGCTTCCCAGAGCTGGGGCGCTTAAATGTGGCTCCTGGTTAAAAGTTTAGCCAAACCGAGGAGGGGGCGGAGCCAGCCGCCAGAGCCACAGCAGAGGGCCTAGCTTTTGCTTAATAGATTAAAGGTTGGCTCCTGTGGTCAGAAAAGGCTAGAGACATGCAACAAAGACAGGTCCGACCAAAAAAAAAAAAAAAAAAAAAAAAAAAGGACAAAAAACCCACAGACCCAAACCTTTAAGCAGGTTACAATGTGTTTAAAAATGTGCATAGGCTTAAGAAAGAAAAACAAAAATGGGTATAAAGCAGGGCAGTGGTGGGGCGCACATTGCCAGCCTGGTCTGCAAGAGCTAGTTCCAGGACAGGCTCCAAAGCTACAGAAAAATCCTGTCTCAGAAAACAAAACAAAACAAAACAAAACAAAAGATAGACAGTCATAGGAAAAATAAATAGTTTAAAAGTCTTTAAAGAGAGTAAAATAACATAAAGGGGAAAAGGCCCCATAAAAATGGGAAATCCACAGGGAGTCTGGATCCTCTATGGTGTTTTGTTGACTGAATTGTTTTGGATGCTGATGAGTGGCAGCTGCTGAGAGACATGGGATTTTTAACAGGGACTCCTGAATTAGACCAACCTAGATACTTTAGGGGTGTCTTAACATTAAAATGGAATTGAGAAAATAAACCACACTGCGGAAGAGGTTATGCTCGTCTTTTCACAGGAAACGAAAGGCTGTGGATTCCTTCAAGGTGAATAGAGACCAGGTTTGATGGGGGAGACCTCCTAAAAACATTGGCTACAAACATGAAGTGATAAACCAAGAAAAACTACAAGACAGGTTATGTTTATACCGATCCCTCTGCATGAAAATGTTCTGAGACTGGACAACAATGTTACAACTAGTTCCTCCAGGACTTGACCAATATCTCTATTTTCTCAGGGTCCCCTGGAGATGCTTTCACCCCCAGACAACAGGAAGCAGTCTAGAGAACACAATGCTCACATTCCCAAGAGGTAGGGTGGGTAGTTTTTGGTCATTTGGTAGGTTATGGATATTTGTCATTGTTTAGGGGGATATAGGAATATAGGATAAAAAGACAACTATTAACCTCAAATATTTTACATTGGTATGGATTTTGGAATATTGAAATTTAAAATTATTTCTGTTATATGGTATGTACACTGCTACTCTTGTTTGGGGTATTCTGTTTATGCGGCTCATTTAAAAATGGAATGCATAATTAAAATGCATGTTAGTAATTTGTCTATAATAATCAAACTTGTAGTCATATTATATATGTTTTCAAGGTTAAACATATGTATTTTAATAGGTGATCTTCAAACACTTTAGGGACCTACAGACTATGGCATTTAAAATGTTTTTTTGTTTGTTTGTTTGTTTGTTTTGGAGACAAGGTTTCTCTGTATAATAGTTCTGGCTGTCCTGGAACTTGCTCTGTAGACTAGGATCATATCATCTCTAACTGATGGAGATCTGCCTGCCTCTGCCTCCTGAGTGCTGGGATTAAAGGCATGTGCCACCACTGCCTGGCTAGTAAAATTTATTAACATGGGGCTTTTCATGACAGTGAGACATGTCTGCTCCTGGCAGCACCAATCTACTTCATAGAAGGATGAGGGACATCAATAAATCTCCATATGTAGTTTGCTTTTATTGTGGCAAAGTTAGCCATTTTGGCAAGAAACTGTCCTTGCCTTGACTGTTTACAGTATACTATACCAAACTGGACATGCAGGACACAGAGAAAAGTGACTGCCACACTTTGCAAAGACAAAGTAGGTAGGGCAGTCCTTCAAAATTCTTGGTTCATAGGAAAGTCTGCCAGATATTCTAGGCCTGTAGGTTGAAGATGGATGACCCAATGTTCCAGAGAAACGTGGGTGACTATCCAGGCAACTAGATATATAGTTCTGAAAGTGGCTTGCACTGCACTTCCTACTTACTCAGGTAACAATATATCCTCCTGGGGTCTTTGATGGAGTTAAAGACTAGATAGCTATAGTTACAGTTTTCCTTAGTTATGATAGAACGTAAATTAAGTACAAAACTTTGGACTTATCAAAACACGATAGAAAATAGAGTAATTTCACCAAATTTGCCAAATGCAAAAGAAGTAGAGATTGTAAATGTAATTCATTTTTTCTTTTCTTTTCTTTTTCTTTTTCTTTTTTCTTTTTTTTGAGACATGGTTTCTCTGTGTAGCTTTGGAGCCTCTCCTGGAACTCACTATGTAGACCAGGCTGGCCTCAAACTCACAGAGATCCACCTGTCTCTGCCTCCTGAGTGCTGGGATTAAAGGTGTGCGTCACCACCACCAAGCACGTAAATGTAATTCTTTCTTTTTTCTTTTTTTGGTTCCTGTCCTGGAACTAGCTCTTGTAGACCAGGCTGGCCTCGAACTCACGGAGATCCGCCTGCCTCTGCCTCCCGAGTGCTGGGATTAAAGGCGTGCGTCACCACCACCCAGCACGTAATTGTAATTCTTATTTGATAACTATTCTTAGTGTATAAAGTTTTACTATGTTAAAGTTAAAAACCTTTCTTTTTATTTAGACAAAAGGGAGAAATGTGGAATATTTCTTTAACTAGGCAAAGATTGTTACATTTGTTTATGGTGAAGAATTTTTTTAACTATGAAAAGATGCGTTGCATTTGTTTCACCTTGCCTGCCTAAGACACCTGATTGGTCTATTAAAAAGCTGAATGGCCAATAGCTAGGCAAGGAAGGGATAGACAGGGCTGGCAGGTAGAGAGAATAAGTGGGAGGAGGAATCTAGGCTTGGGAGAGAACGAGGGAGAAAGAGATGGAGATGCCCGGGGCCAGCCAGGAGGAAGCAGGGAAAGTAGGACACACAGAAGGAAAGAAAGGTAAAAAACCCCAAGGCAAAGTGTAGACGAAGAGAAACAGGCTAAGTTAAAAAAAATCTAGCCAGAAACAAACCTAAACTAAGGCCGAATATTCATAACTAATAATAAGTCTCTGTGTCATGATTTGGGGGCTGGCAGTCTGAGAAAACCTACTACACTATTATTATTATTATAAATTATTATTATTATCATGATGACGATGATGACAGAGTCTTGTGTTGCTCAGGTTGTCCTCAAACTTACTGTATAGCTGAGGATGAACTTGAACTTCTGCTTCTTCTGCCTTCACCTCCCAACTGCTGGGGTTGCAGGCGTGCACCAGCACATTTAACTTTAGGGGCCACGTTTTTTATCCTTCTCTCCTAACATCTTTATATATACCCAGCACAGTAGGCATTCATTAATTTAAATGATTATTCTTTTTAAAGTTTAGCTTATGAGTGTTTTGCCTGCATGAATATCTGTGTACCACTTGGGAGTCTGGTGCCTGCAGAAGCCAAAAGAGAGTGCCGGATCTCCTGGAAGTTACAGACATTTGTGAGCCATTGTGTGGGTGCTGGGAATAGAACCTGCCCCCCCCCCCAAAAAAGAGCACCAACTGCTGTTAACCCACCGCTATAGCCCAAGCGATATTTATTTATTTACTTTTGGTTTTTTGAGACAGGGTCTCTCTAGGTATCTCTGACTGTCCTGGAACTCCTTTGTAGACCAGCCTGGCCTTGAACTCACAATGAACACCCTGCCTCTGTCTTTCCAGTGCTGGAATTAACAGTGTGCACCACTGTCTCAGGGTTTGAGCAAATAATGAATCAGGGAAGCCATAAATCTGGTCTTTTGGTTGTGACATGAACAGAAAAGCTCACTGAGGGAACACTAAATGTTTCCTGTGTGCCTACTTGTCCTTTGACAGCTTTTGCTTTCGGCAAGGTGGGTGCTGTCCACTCCAACCAAGTTCTGGAAGATGTGGTGTCCACAGGCTGGCACACCCAGGCTCGCACACCCAGGACCTACCGTAGCTTTCACAGATGAGTTCCTTGTACTTCCTGCCGGTATTCGCAATAATCTGAAGTAGTTTGATGGATTCCTTTTTGTCCTCTTCCTTGATTTTCTCTAGGCCAAGTATTTCCAAGAGTGTTAGGACTCCTCCAATCTCAAGAAATTCTATTAGGTACCGATTGCTGTCCAGAGAGGAGACCATAAAAACAAGATGTTTGAGGGGCTCTGTAGTTGACATTTTCTTTGGGCTGCAAACCAGCTTCCCAAATAAAGACACGGAGACTTGCTGTGAATTATGAGTGCTCAACCTTAGCTTAGTCTTGTCCCAGTAGCTCTTTTAACTTAATTAAACCTGTCTCTATTCATCTACATTTTGCCTCAGGCTTTTTATTATTCTTTCATTCTGTATGTCCTGCTTTCCTGTTTCCTCTGTTGTCTGACTGATTGGCCCCTGGTGTCTCCCTGGCGTCTCTTTTCTTTCCAGAGCCTAAACTTCCCCTACTACTTACTTTCCCTGTCCGAAAGTCCTCTTATATCTCCTCCCTCCCTATTGGCTGTTCAGCTTTTTATTAGACCAATAAGGTGCCTTAGGCAGGCAAGGTAAAACAGCAACACATCTTTACATAATTAAGCAGATGCAACACATCTTTACATAGTTAAACAAATATTCCACAACATAAACAAATGCAACACATCTTTGCATAGTTAAACAAATATTCTGCAACAGGGCTCCTTAACACTGAACTGAAGGCACCCAAGGAAAAGGTACTGTCTTCACAAACTTGCCTCCAACCCAGGAGATGTCCACAGAGACATAATTGTTTGGACTTTTACAAACTATATAATATATAAAAGCATATTATAATATATAAGTATTAGAATATATGTACATATATATGTGTGTATGTATGCATATATAGGAAGTCACTTTGTAGGCCAGGCTGCCCTCAAACTCAGAGATCTAACTCCCTCCACCTCCCAAATGCTGGGGTCAAAGGTGTGTGCTAAAACCACCCAGCTATATATTTGTTCAGATGACCTTACCATGCTATCTTGAACTTACTATTCTGCCTCAGTTGCTGGAGACACTGAGACTACAAGCACATACTACTGTGCCCAGCCAAGAAAATGCTGGAACTAAATCCAACAGGCATTCTTGGCTTTGTCTCTTTCTAGTCTCTGTGTCTGCCCTCCTGCTTTTTTTGGACAGGATCTCACTATAGACTAGGACTGCCATATAGATCAAGCTGGCCTTGAATCTTCAGAAACCCCTGCTTCCTGCCTACTGGGATTAAAGGTGTGAGCTCCCACAGCTGACCAGCTCCCTCTCCTCCCTTCTCCTTCCCCTCTCCCTTCCCTTTCTTATTCCCAGGCCTCTTCTTTCTATAATGGCACTTTAATTGTCCTCTGGTGAATCTTGCTTCCTCCACTCAAGGACCATGTGGATTTGGTGGGGCAAACACGTGACAGGGGTGCCATCCTTCTTACATCCTTCTGCAGAAGGCTGGTTAAGTGACCTGTGCTGGTTCGCCTAGACCTCGTGGGAATAGATACACTCCCTTGAAGGTGTAAATGAGCTACAGGGATGGTTTCTGGAGGGTCTGAGGACCCCAGTACACAGAAGTCTCTGAATCCAGGGACTGAGTGAGAAAAGAAAGGGATAAAGAGATGAAACCCTGGAGAACTCAGTAAAACCCCTGGGCCTGATCAGAGCTGAAATATGTACATCCACCCTCTGGGCTTTTTTTTTTTTTTAAAGATTTATTTATTTATTATGTATACAGTATTGTCAGTATTCTGTCTGCATGTGTGCCTGCAGGCCAGAAGAGGGCACCAGATCTCCTTACGGATGGTTGTGAGCCACCATGTGGTTGCTGGGAATTGAACTCAGGACCTTTGGAAGAGCAGGCAGTGCTCTTAACCTCTGAGGCATTTTCCCAGCCCCCCCCCCGCCCCCGAGCTTTTTCAGCTAAGTGAGCCAATAAACCCCCCATTCCCTAGTTTAGTATAAATGTGTTTTTTTAATTTTACTTTTAGAAAATATATAATACTCAACCAACAGGGTGCTGACTAGGGAAGGGCCAATGGGAAACAAGATGGAGGAGCAACTAGAGAAGAATCCCAGTCATCTCTGAGCTCATCCCAAGAACTTTGATACACCTGCTGGTACCTAGAACCTATGGCCCCAAGTGGACTGAATACACCATGAGCCTGATTTGTGGCTGAGACCAGAGTCTCTTTGGAGTGGGACGTACTTGCTCACGGCAGACAAGAAGATGCCAATGGACCTCAGGAGCTTCTCTAGATCCAAGCCAGTCATATAGCTGCAGCAGCGTTAAGGAATGCGCCCAGGCGGCTTTCCACTTGGCCTGATTCCCTAGTACTACTGGGCCCAGGGCCCAGGATGAGCAAACGGCTGACATGTGCCTTTGACCCTGAGGGGAACCCCTGGCTGAAGGGCAGAGCTAGCACATTGTGTGTTGGAATGTTGGGGTGTGACCTCCTTCCCTGCTCTCTAAGAAGTCCCTCTAGGACAATCAAGCCATCTGGGCTCTGCAATCTCCCTGGGGAGCAAAGAGGTTCCCATAAATCCACGTGTGTGGAGAAAACTGACGGTCAGCTTCTCAAACCTCTTAGGGCCACAGCTTGGGTCTCGGCACAGCTTACGATTTTAGGCCTCATTTTTAGATGTCTCTACCAGGAATTAGCTTCAGCTGGGCATAGTGGCGCATGCCTTTAACCCCAGCACTTGGAAGGCAGAGGCAGGTGGATCTCTGGGAGTTTGAGGCCAGCCTGGTCTACAAAGTGAGTTCCAGGACAGCTAGGGCTACACAGAGAAAACCTGTCTCAAAAAACAAAACAAAAACCAAACAAACAACAACAAAGAATTAGCTTTATTGTTAATTCTCCATTCTGTAACTTGCTCAAAGTTTTACACTGGAGGTCACTATCCTTATGAAGAATTGCACGGCTTCCTAATAAGAATAACAGGAAATGGAGGAAAAATTAAACTCTGATTTAAAACAACCTCAGCATTTAATGTTATTTTTTAATGTGAGCCTTTGCAAAAAGCCTCGCCGTAATAAAGCATCCGAAGCACGCTTCGGCTCAAATGCAAGGTATGAAATCAAACGCAGCAGAAAGGGAGCCAGTCAACAATTACTAGGCTCATAACACATCACAGGCTCTTAGAACACTTAAGAAATTAGCTGGAATTATTGCAGTTCATGAGGATGACTGAGAGCCTCTAGGACTGGTACAGGCTAATGTAATGGGCTGGAGGTAATGGTGCTTTGTTGGGGGGGGGTGAGGCAAATTATCTCTGCTGCACCCCAGTTCCCAGGATGCCAATAGAAGGAGAGACAGATTGGCTCATTAGGAAAGGCTTTTTACTGCAAACACAGTGTTTGCTCCGAAGCCAGGCTCCCCTGCCTGTTGCTCTCATAGCTTGGGCCAGGCATCTCTTTATTGCTGCCTTGTCCCTCTCTTCATCCCGATCCCCTTCCCGTTCCTGCCTCTTTGTCTGAAGTTACTAGCTATGCTGACCAGCATCTGGCATCTTCTTTTCCCTGTGTTCAGGCTAGTCTTGATTTCAGTCAGTTACTATACATGCTTGTCTTCTCTCCCTCCTCCTTTCCTCCTCTTTCCTCCCTCCCTCTCTTTTTCCTCCCTTTCTCCTTCCCTCCCTCTCTCCTTCTTTTTGAAAGGGTCTTGTTATGTAGCCCAGGCTGGTCTGGAACTCAAAATGGTCCCCCTTCAGCATCCCGAATGCTGGCAGCTAACAGTGTCACTGTCATTGTATAAATCACGGGTTATGGGAGTTTAAGACCGACAAAAGGTTTGGGCTTCTGTGGTCAGTTTTGCAAAGGATGGCGATGTCATACCGGTTTGTTTCCCTTCCAGGTGGATAACTGGAGGAGTTGGTGGGAGGAACCTCTAACTGACTATACCGTCACTTTTACTGGGCTACTCCTAACGGCAGACTCACCAAAAAGGTAAGCTGTGGATGAGTCTTGGTGTAGAAATGGGGTCTATTGGCAGTCATCCTGTCAACAGTGGCTTGGTGTCCTCATGTCCATCATGTCCAACAGTGGCAGACGCATGACATGTGGAGAAGGCACGAGGCCCAGTGTGTTAAACGCACTGACTACAAAGGAGAAGAGGCGAGCAGAGGGCACGCCCCTTAGAAGCATGACACCCTGCAGCAGAGGCAGAGAAGCCCATGGTGACAGGAGGAGGACAAGAAGAGGGCTTCAGAAGGGGCAGTGGACAGGGTTAGCTGTGCACTCCTCAAACCCCACCCAGCACTTGGGAGGCCGAGAGAGGAGAATCACATGTTTGAGGGCAGCAGCCACACAGCAAGCTCCCGTCTGGGAAAGGGGAAAGGAGGAACCGTGTGGCTGTTGCAGAGGGGTTGAAACTGGGCAAGGTGAGGGATACACTTGCTTTAGGTCAGAAGCTTAAAAGGGCACAAAAACCAATTCCAAAATCAAATCCGCCATGTTTCTTCTTTTCTCCTGTTTCTTCTTTCAGACAGGCAGGGTCTCATGTAGCCTAGATTGAACTGCTGAGCTTGCTATATGGCAGAAGATGACCCTGAATTCCTGATCCTCCTCCTCCGTTTTCCAAGTTCCAGGGTTACAGACATTTGTCCACCGGCCTCACTTGCTTTGCTCTCTTCCCTTCCCTTTGACTTCATCAAATCCTACTTCAATGTAACACTCAAAACACTGACATCAAGGTCAAGTGTGGGTGGGCACTGGCATACATAATCCCAGCACTTGGTGATGGGGGCAAGGAGAGTTCCACAAGTTCCAGGTCAGTCTGGGCTACATAACGAGATCCAGGCCAGACAGAGTAATACAGGGAGATCTTGTCTCAAAACAAATCAAACCCAAGTCAAAAAAAGTTAGTAGAAAGCTCCTGATAAAGTATCAAAGTTTCAAATGAAGCCAGTGTCAGGGCAGGTACCTCCCTCACCTCTCCCTGTGGTCCCAGGAAATGCTGAGACAAACAAGGAAAACAGTCTAGGCTTGACAACAAAGCAGCCGCAGACAACTGGTGAGGTTAATGTTTAGTTGTGGTGCAGAAGACAGAGCTCAGGGGCTGATGTTTCCCGTGCACGACAGCTCTACCACCAAACTCCTCTAAACTCCCGAAAAACCCGTGTTTGCTGAGCTGCTGCGTGAACACCTGGCCTGAGTCCTCAGGGTGCGGAGTCAGAAAAGAGGGCAGGCTGAGATGGCAAATACCTGGAATTGCAGCACTTGAAAGGAGTTAAAGGTTATTATTGTTGTGCTGGCTGGTTTTCACATCAACCTGACACTTTTTTGGACATCTGGGAAGAAGGAATCGTAACTGAGAAAATGCCTCCACTGGATTGGCCTGTAGGCAAACCTGTAGGGCATTGTCTTGGCTGCTGACTGATGGGGGAGGGCTCAGCTCACTGTGGGAGGTGCCACCGCTGAACTGGGGTTCCCAGATGGTGGAAGAAAGCAGGCTGAGCAAGCCATGGAGGGCCAGCCAGTAAGCAGTGCTATCCCATGGCCGCTGCTTCAGTTCCTGCCACCAGGAACCTTCCTGAGATCCTGCCCTGAATTCCCTAGATGACAGACTATCAGGTGCAAAGTGAACTAAACCCTTTCCTCCCCAGGTGTTTTATCACAGCAACAGAAACCCTAACACTTGGCCATACAGTGTGTCAAGGCCAGCTTGGGTTATGTGAGACCTTGTCACAATAAATAAATATATAAATAAATCAATCAAGGGACGTGGCAGGGTTAAACCCTCTTGTCTGCTAACTAAGCCTTCTGATAAGGTGCAAGGCTGACTGGCAATTTGCATTTAATTAAAAGGAAGAAGGAATTAAGATATAAGAAAGTAGGGCTCATAGAAGAGGAGAGGGTTCGTGAAAAGAAGAAAAATACCTAACAGAAAGGTCTGCGGTGGGCCGGGGTGGATCTCAGTGGTGGGGAGTTTGCTGAGCATGTGTAAGGTCCTGGGTTCAAGTCCCAGCTCGGGGAGAAGAGGTAGGCAGAGATCCACTGGGAGCACTCTCTCGGCATAGCTTCAGCTTGCACACCGTCAGCAACGGCAACCCGGTTGTTTCCCGTGGCTCTGCCTCCAGGACCCCAAACTGCACAGGCGCTGCAACTTGTCCCCAAACGATTTTTTTAATGTTTATTTATGTATTTTATATAAAATATATATTTACATATAAATATATACATATGAGCGTTTTGTCTGCATGTGCGCTCACACACCAGAAGAGGGCATCGGATCCCACTATAGAGGAGTGTGAGTCACTATGTGGTTACTGGAATTTGAACCCAGAACTTCTAGAAGAGCAGTCAGTGCTCTTGATTGAAGTGGAACCTCTTTTTATATTTTCTTCCTACTCACCTAGTTTCCTAAACCAGAAATGTAAGAGCTTGCCTGTGGCATGAGCAGAGCCAGTAGCTGGGCATCTCTAGGTTAAAAGCTCAGATTCAGGAAGGAAATTGGAGACTCTTCCAGCTGGCGTCATAATAATGGATTTGATTGTTCAGGGAGAAAGAGAATGGAATGAGCACAGACAAGGCAGGGGACAGAGGTTCAAGTAGCACCAGGAATTAAGGAAGGAAGGCCGAGGGTCAGCCAGAAGCAGAGAGAAAGCATAAGAGCCAACTCACAGACGGCAAGGGAATGGTTTTGAGAAGTGGGATGGGGTGACTGGCAGATGCCATCAGGAGGTCATGTGCGAGGAATGAGGATGTGGCCGCTGGTGGAGCTGGGCGAGCGGAAGTGAGACTGCAGTGGGAGACAGGGAGACACAGTGACCTTTTCAGCTGGCTTCAGCGTGAAGGGGAAGGGCTGGGTGAGCTCAGGGTTGAGGCTAGGATTTAATTTTCAATTTTAGAGTTAATGCCAGGCACGGTGATGCCCATTTGTGGTCCCTGCACACGGGTGGCAGAGGCAGAAGGGTCAGGACATATGCAGCAATACGATATTTGAGGCTGTCCTGGGCTACAGAAGACTCTGACCTCCCCCCAAAAGGGATGGGGTGGGGCTGGAAAAATGGCTCAGGTCTTAAGAGCACTGGCTGCTCTTCCAGAGGACCCAGGCTCCGTTCCCAGCACCCTCATGGTGGTTTACAATTATCTGTGACTCCACTTCCACATCATCTGATGCCTTCTTCTGGCCTTTGAGGGCACTAGGTACACATGTGGTACACAGACATACATGAGGCCAGGATACACACACACAAACACACACACACACACTAATAATAAAAGATGAGGAACAAATTGGTGATAAAGAAAATGAAAAAGATGTAAGACCAAAAACAAAGTCCCTAGGGGAGAGTCAAGTATAGAATAAACATAACTAGCTGCCCCAAGCCTCAGGAGGCAAACAGAGGTAAGAAGGTAAAAATAAGGGTGCACTTAGAGTCGGAAAGACAGAAAGTCAATAGAATTCTTGACTTTGGGTTTTTTTTTTTTTATCATTTTCAGTTATTTTTTTCTTTTTTTCTTTTTTTTTTTTTTCCCCCCACTGAGACAGGGTTTCTCTGTAGCTTTGGAGCCTGTCCTGGAACTCGCTCTGTAAACCAGGCTGGCCTTGAACTCACAGAGGTCTGCTTGTCTCTGCCTCCCAAGTGCTGGGATTAAAGGTGTGCGCCACCATCACCCGGCTATTCTTTTCAGTTCTAAAATACTGGACCCAAGAGAAAAACTTCCTCAACTATACATACTGTTTTCTCTCTTTGAGTGACTCCCCACTTCCCAACCGTTCAGCAAAGGATACGTGATTCTAAGCCAGGTGGTCAATCGTATGAGGAACAAGCTGGCTCCCTGGGAAAACTCCAGCTCCAGCTCAGGGCCAGTCTTCCCTTCGTTGGCTTCGATGAACTTAGTAAGAATCTGTGTTCTCAGGCCTTTGCCGGCATTGTCCCACTCTTGCAGAAAACTCAGGAGGCGGCTGATTGCTGCCTGCTCCTTTATAGAAGTCATGTTCCACCAGTCCCGACGCTGACTACAAGGTACAGAAAATGGGGCACCACAATGTTTAGAACCACGTGACCTTGTGGGCCGCACTTGACTACTGATCTGCTGCAGGGCCTTTGCGCTGATGGACTTATGCGCAGAAGCCACACTACGTGGCTGAGGGTGTGGCTCACTGCCACGCTTGCAGGAGCCTCTGAGAGCTAGCACTACACAAAACAAAAGGAGTGAATGGGTGGGTGATGGCTGGGGCTGTAGCTCACGGGCAGAGTACTTACTGAGCATGTGCAAGATCCTGGGTTTGCTCTCCAACACTAGGGAAAAAAAAACCATTCTTGGAATGGCTACCTGCTACGTGAGCAGGTGGGTTTTAGCCAAGCTGTAATGGGCTCAAAATATCGTGGTGGCCCCGCAGTGACACAAAGTTACAGTCCCGGTACTTCCAGACCCTGAGGCAGGGGGAGGAGGATTTCAAAGACAGCAGGGGCGGGAGCCGAGAGAGCGGTTGTTTCAACAACGACGTTGTGCAGCAGGCTGACCTAGAACTCAGAGATCTGCCTGTCTCTGTTTCCCGGTGGTCGGACGGTGCCACAGTGCTTGCTTTATTTTTTGAGACAAAGTCTTGCTACGTAGTCCAGACTGGCCTCGAACTCCTAACAAACCTCCTACCTCAACCTCCTGAGTGTTGGATTACAGGAGTTCAGTTAAACATATGTGTAAAATGTGGGTATGTGTGTATATGTGTATGTTGGTGCGAACATGTGTGTGAACATGCATACATTGGCGTGCACAGGTGTGTGAACATACATGTGTTGGTGTGCACACATGTGGACATGCATATATGTATGTTGGTGTGCACATGTGAGGACATACATGTGTATATGTATGTTAGTGCACACACATGTGTGAACATGCATGTGCGTATGTGTGTATGTTGATGTGCACATGTGTAAGGACTCTAGGAGCCAGCCATGAGAAAGAGATCACCCAAAGGAAGTTCTTTACTTTCAGCCATTATCACCTGCCAGTGTAGGACTCAGCCATGATAAGCTTAATAGAGGCCTGGTTCTCAGTAGTTTTCCCTGAAGCAACACCTGGTTGCAGGAAGAACCACAAACTGAGATTACCTGAGCATCACCCAAGAACAGACCATCCAAAGGAAATGCCTAAAGTTCCAACCACTGTAGATAGGATCACCTGCCAGCACACACTCACCAGGACACCCCTAGACAAATGTCAGCCAATCAGGGGTCCTGAACCCTAGAAATCCCTCACCCTCACCTTTACTACTATAAAACCCAACTCTAACTCAGCTCGGGGCTCTCCGATTATTCCAGTACACACGGATTATTATTAATATTCCAAATTGAACACACAGAGAGACAGAGTTTGCAAACTTGTATAAAAGCTCTTTGCTTTTACATATGGAACTCGGTCTCTGTGTTGATTTTTGGGGGATTTTGCGGATCTGGGCATAACATGGATGGACATGCATGTGTGTATGTTGGTATGTGTACATGTGTGAAAACACGCATGTGGAGGTTCGAGATTGGTGTTTGGTATCTTCCTCAACTGCGCTTTACCTTAGTATTACATTTTATTTTTATTTTTTGAGATAGATTTTCATTATTTAGGCTTGGCTGACTTGGAACTCACTCAGGAGACCAGGCTGGCCTCTAACTCACAGAGATCGGCCTGCCTCTGCCTCCTGAGTGCTGAGATAAATGGTGTGTGCTACCATGCCTGACCCTGACACCTTATTTTTTGATATAAGGTTTTTCATTGAACCTGGAACTCATCAGCTTGGCTAGACTGGCTGGCCATGGAGTTCCAGGAATATATCTGCCTTGGCAACCACCCAGTGACGGCTTTATAAATGGTTTACCATGCCTAGTATCTCCATGAAGGCCAGAAAGAGGAATCCAGGGTGGTAGGGAAGAAGGTGTTTGCTAAAAGTCCCAGTGTCTCTCAGAGTGTATTTCAAGCAGGTGGGAGACTGGGTCTTTTGAGACCCTGCCCCCTTTCTGTTGATTAGTTTAGCAAAGTTATAATTGTTGTTCTTTTTTTTTTTATTTTCAAGGCAGAATTCTCTGTAATAGCTTTGATTGTCCTGGAACTCTCTTTGTAGACCAGGCTGGCCTCAAACTCACAGAGATCCGCCTACCTCTGCGTCTCCTGAGTGTTGGGATTAAAGGCATGTGCCACCAATGCCTGGCTGGCAAAGTTCTTCTTAACCTTGTATGCAAGGCATTTATTCTAACTCTTTAAAACAACGCAAAGTAAAGTTAGTAGGAAGAACAACTTCTTATTCTGTAGCTGGATTAATGGGCTGTGGTCTGTAGGAGCCTGTGTCCTTGGGAGAGTGTTTGCAGTGGGGGGAGGGAAGGTTTAAAATAAACCCGTTTCCCCAAAAACAGTTGTGATTGAAAGTGTTATTATCCATAACAAACGTTAGAGCTGATGGGATGGAGGCATGCGTGGTGCTTTCGCCTGACAGACAAGTGAAAGTCATATTTCACATTATCATGGGGTTTCTGTGATTTACAGAATATTTGTGAAACATTACGTGCGGCGGCCATGATTGATATGGAGGGAACAGCTTGTGTGTAGGGGAGATGTGTATTTCATATAGACGGTTCAACATGAAATTTACAGTCCCATAAAGTGCTCCTACATCTTCGCCAGAGATCTAGTTAAAAGGACTTTACAGTCTGAAACATCCTAAAATTGATTCTAAATTAACGTTTCCTCACATGTATTTGAGATATTGATGGGGCCCTGCTATCAGGCTTTTATTAGGGAGCAATAATCTGAGGCAGGCTGAGACAGACGTACATACATACCAACCTCCACTACTCCCCAGAGGACACGGGGTCTGTGCTCCTGGGAAGGGCGCCCACGCAGCTTCAGGAAGACTCCACAGGGTCCAATCAGCGTTTAGAACTGGGGGGAACAAGAGTGGACCAACTTAAACACAAAAAAATGACCAAACCCTCATGGGGTGCCATCAATTATGGCAAAGTCTTATTGCAGTCGGAGGCATAAAGATACTGTCATAGGCTGTAGCCACCTTCAACAGTCAAACTGACCTTAAGAAGATGGGGACCCCAGAGTGGAGGGGATGAGACACCAGCATTAATCTTATCAGGATGAATTCTCATAGGGCCAGAACTCGAACGCTATCAGAGAAGCACCCAGCTATTCTGGGGTAGGAAACTCCAGGCAGGATGCTCCACAGGATGGAGCTCACTCTTCCCTTCTGTCCTCCTTTCCTTTCTCTTTGCTTTCCCTTCCTCTGAGAAGGAATGATGTTGCCTCGGCTGACCTCAAACATAAACTTCTTTTGCCTCAGCCTATTTGTGCCCAGCACACCTAACTTTAATTTTTACATGTGCAGGGAAGGCTGATCGAGTAGCTCTCTACAGGGTGTTGTGGGAAGCGAGAGCTGCAAGCAGGCTCGCCAGGGCCCTGGAGGCACTCCTGGAGAGGAACAGGAGGCTTGGAACCAGACTGGGCTCCAGTCTGTGAACTCAAAGCAACACGCTGCCTCTCCCCGCCTGCCTCCACAGGCGACAGTCATTCTCAGCTCTTCTGGTATTTTCTTCCGTGTTTCTAAATAACCAATGCACATACAACTTGTATGAGCTGACCTGTGTTTCCATCCCAAATCCCCACCATGACCTTGTTTGGAGGGAGGGTCTGTGTGTACACGCAAGTGCACGCCAGTGTGCAGATGTCGACAGTCTGCAGGCAAGGTGAACCTCGGATGCCATCCCTCAGATGCGGTCTCTTGCTCTCTCTCCCGGGTCTCACCAATGAGGCAAGGCTTGCTTTGCTGACTGACCAGAAGAATCATTTGTTTCTGCTGCATTACAAGAACGACAGCATGCCTGGCTTTCTCTTCCTTCTGGGTTTCCTCTGTCTCCTCTTTAAATGTGGACACCACGGATTGAAGTCAGGTCTTTATGCCTGTGAAGCGAACACTTTACCAACTGAGCTATCTCTCTGGCCCTGACGGGGTAGAGTGGGGTCATTAAAGTGCACCTTTGTTTAATATGAAGGTATTTTTACAAGAACAGGTCAGGGCTGGGTGTGGTGGCATATGTCTTTAATCCTAACTCTTGAGAAGCAGAGGCAGGTGGATCTTTGTGAGTTCAAAGCTAGTCTGGTCTACAGAGTGAGTTTCAGACCAGCCAGGGCTATATAGTGAGACTGTGTCACAAAAAACAAAAGAATGGTTGGGCGGTGGTGGCTCACGTCTTTAATCCCAACACTCGGGAGACAGAGGCAAGCAGAGCTCTGTGAGTTTGAGGCCAGCCTGGTCTACAAGAGCTAGTTCCAGGACAGCTAGGGCTATTACAAAGAGAAACCCTGCCTCTAAAAACAAAAAACAAACAAAAAAGAGTATCCTGTGCTTGTCACCTCTGAGCCATGGCTCCACCTCCATTCCTGTTGTTTAACCTACCCAGCCCGTGGTTATTTGTCACGGTAGCCTCAGCAAACTGATACACTACTAATACTTGATTTATCAATCCTGGACAAAATTTATTATTTATCATTCTGGCGGATGAGGAATTAGTTCTCTTGAAGCACTCCAACCCTCCCTTTCCTCGTGCCCATCCTCACAATATAATTTCCCACAATTTACAGTTAAATCAATAGTGTTTACATTATTGACCAAGTAAATAAACTCTTCAGCCAGGCAATAAAATACTATTACATTTTCTTTCCGTACGGCTTGGCTTTTACCAAGAGTCAATCATGACCGTTTCGCTTCAATCATTTAGTTCTAATTATCTGCAATGATTTTCCCCGCAAATGTTCCATATGTAGCAGTAGTTTTTTCTAAATGTTCAGCCCACAGCTGACTAGTGTCTGCTTCTCCCCGGAGGCCTGTGTCCACAGACCTCTTTCTCCTTCAGATGGGGCTGGGGACGCAGCCTGGTGTAGAAATACTGTCTTGGGGCTTCCTTCCGCCTCTCTTCATTGTAGCATGGCACACGGTGCTCTTTGATTCCCTCCCTTGTTTTACTGGGGCACGTTCTCTAGTGGCATCTGTAGGTGTGTCCCAGAAAATCTGCTAACACCTCCTCTGTTGGAGGCTACCCCTCATGGACAGCCTGGGTGTAATGACGCCATGCAACAAAGCCTCCCGTTTGCTTCCGCGAATAAGTCTGATGTCTTTCTGCTTCCTGCCTGAGCCCTGGTGGTGCTCCAATCCTGGACTTTAAAATCTTTTCTGCAACGGTGTGCTGGGGATGGAGCTCAGAAGTGGAGCACTGATCTGAGCATGCGTGAGCGCTGTTTGAATAGCCGGCCCTGGGGAGCCGGACACAGATAATAAGAGTCTTGAAGAGGCAAGACTGGAGGTGGGTACCAGCTCAGAAGTCATGCTCAGGGCACCAAGCGGAAGGCAGAGGCAGAACTGCGGCTCAGGAACAAACAGGACTGGCAACTGGCTGTGGAGGATGGAAGAAAGGGAGGAGCCAAGCAGGCTGACAGGGAACACAGGGCCCTTTAGACGGAACCCCCACCCACTTCTCCGTTTTTCTTTGCAGTGCTGGGAATGGAAGGTAGAGCCACTTTCAAGGCAGGCTAATACCATATCACTGAGATACACTTCATGTAGCCCAGGCTAGCCTCAACTTACTATGTAGCAAAGGATGACCCTGTACATGCTCACACACACCATACACACACAGGCGATAATAATAAAAAAATAAATTTTAAAAGAGGCCCCTACCTGACCCTATCACCATCCATGTTCATACAACTAGACCTCCAGTTCTCAATTTCCCAGGCCCTTCCAAGGCTCTCAATGCTGCCCTGACACCAGGAGCGACCAGCTTCCTTTTTGGCAAAACCCTCGGGCCACTTTGGGTTTTTTGTCTTTATGGTCCTTCCTTCACCTTTCTCCCTGGGCTGTCAAAATGAACCCTCCTCTCGCTGGAGGCTGAGCTCAAGGGTACAGGCTGGTTTCCCTGTCCCCGTGTCCCAGGGCAGGGTGGCATAAAATAGGTGTTTAACGAACGCCTGCTGGCTGATGAGAAACCAGCCAGCTCTTCTTTTGGTGGCTGCATCTGAATGTCCATGCTATGTAGGTACATAAAAACTACCACCTTCTCAAAGCCGCCCTGTGCAGAGTGGCGGAAGCTCCAGCCCAGGAGGCCAGTGCCTCCTGGCCTATGAGGTCTATGAGGCATTTTACTGCAACGACAGGGACAGCGAAGCCAGCCGTGGTGTCACCCTTGGACACTAAGAACAGGAACTTGGTGCCATGAACGGTCAGTTAAATTGTAATTGGGGAGAGCTGTTCTTCTGAAAACCATAATGTTCTTTAGTTGCAGCCAAATGGCATCCAAGAAGGGGAGAAAAAAAAATTTGAAACATCAAAGAAATCATTTTCAATTTGGTGCTCACAAGCAGAGATTCTAACGATCATAGAAATGAGAAGCAAACAAATTAGCACTAATGGAAAATGGCTTCTGGAAAAGAGGATTTAATTTATAGTCAGCCGATCGTGGCATGCAGCGGGCAATAAAAGTCAGCTTCAGCAGCTTGATCCGAACTGGAGCTCGCATGGCATGCCAGAGGAAAATGCCTGATGGCATCATGCTCACTGGAACCTCCTGTGAGTGGCAGCCAGTTACAATCGTCATTATTTTACCTTGGAGAGAAAATGGTGTGAGAAATCATAGTACATGAAATTAAAACCCAGATTAGAAACCTTCGTCCAAACCGTTTGTGGCCTTCTAACCTTGGCAAAGTCTCCTCCAGAAATGACCAGCCAACGTGCCTGTCTTCTTACCAGACCCGACTTCCACCTCCTCTCACCATCAGCGGTGACTAACAAGTGGGGGTCTTTTTTTGGTCTTGTTTTGTTTAGCAAGAAACAGGGTTTCTCTGTAACTTTGGTGCCTGTCCTGGAACTAGCTCTTGTAGACCAGGCTGGCCTCGAACTCACAGAGATCCGCCTGTCTCTGCCTCCCGAGTGCTGGGATTACAGGTGTGCGCCACCACCACGCGGCTTATTAGTGGGGTCTTATTCACAAATCATTCTGACGATAGCTGAAAGGTCCTTCAAGCAAGCAAACCAAAATCACAAAATTTCAAAATCCAGCTCCCAAGTGAAGTCAGAGGTCCTTAGCCACAATCAAAAGGAAGCTACCAACTATCAACAACTAAGAGAAGCCAGGCCTGTAACCCCAGCACCTGGGAGACTGAGGCAGGAGAACCACCGCAAACTCGAGGCTACTCTGGGCTATGTAGCAAGTACCAGGCCATCCAGGACAACACAGCAAGATCCTGTCTCAAAAACACAAACCAAACCAAATAAACAAATAACAAACAAAAAAGAGCTCACGCTCTCTTGTTCCTAGATAAAATTTCCCAGAGAGCTCCGCTTGCCAGTTCCTTCCTCGAAATTCATAAAGCACATCTATAAAAGCAAGAAACCGCTGAGACATGGTTATCAGCCTGGCTCACACTCCCCAGGTCCCTCAGAGACAAGGAGGTCACCGGCTCCCATTCCTGGGGGTTTCACAGGGCAGAATGAAACAGGGCCTTCCCCTTGGAGTTGGCTCCCTTCCTCACTCTCAGCCTTTATGCAGAGATAAAGTCATGTGCGCCGGCTGCTTTTATGTCAACTTGACACAAGCTAGAGACATCTGAGAGGAGGGAATCTCAGTTGAGAAAAGGCCTCCCTAAAACCCAGCTGTAAAGTATTTTCTTAATTTGTGATTGATGCAGGAAGGCCCAACCCACTGTGGGAGGGGCCATCCCCGGGTCAATGGTCCTGGGTACCATAAGAAAGCAGGATGAGCAAGCCAAAAAGAACTGCCCCTCCGTGGCTCCTGCATTAGCTTCTGCCACTAGGTTCTTGTCCTGTGTGAGTTCCTGCCCTCACTGCTTTTGATGATGAAGTGTTATACGGAACTGTGAGT